GGATCCCCTGCCTAAGGGGATCGCGAACAAATCGAGGCGGTGTGGCTAGGAGCGCAATCGCTGGCCCCTCATCTGGCATGATCATGAGCGACGAACACATGACCCAGCCGATCAATTTTAGCGAGGATGACTACCTTGAGCGGGCCTCGGGCCGACGCCGGCGTCGGCCTGTCATCTCCAGCTTCGACCATCCCCAGCAGCGCTCGCCAGGCACGCTCCATCGCACCCAGGCCAAGGTCCTGCTGCCAGATCACACTGGCTAGTACATGAGCGGCTCGACCGTCGCTGCGAAGATCGGGTCGTAGTACGGGTTCCTCTGGCTGGCGGGGTAGGGCGCGATGCTGCCCCCTCGCCCGTTGGATCCTGCAAGCCGCGCGGCCTCGGTGAGCATCGCTGCCAGCTCGGACGGGGCCACTATGCTCACGGCAGCGCCATGGTCCGCAGCTGGCAGGAGCCCCGTCTGCCACAGGCACGCCACTCTGGCGCCTGCAGCACGCCTCAGCCCCATCGCCCGCCGCGTGCGTGGCTAAAGCTTCCTGAGCCTGGCCCTGCCCTGGCGACCATCCTCCGCGCCTTGGGCCCGTGGAGGTCGTGGCCCACGTTGCGCATCTGCCGGCAGGCCCCGATCTTGACCCACTCGGCGAAGGGCTCGGCGGCCACCCTCCCCTGTCGCGACGACGCCACGAAGCTAGCCTTGAGCACCTGCAGCACCATGCTTGTAGCGCTTGACGGCCTCCCAGAGCACGCGCACCCCTTGCAGGTCCATGCCGACCCACTGCACGGAAGTGTCGTCAGCCAAGGTCTTCGGGATGACGTCGCACCTGGCCAGCCGCTTGAGAGCCCTGGCCGACGCCACCACCAGCACCGCCATCGAGTGGGAGCAGCCCGCGAGGATACCCTGGTGCGCCACGTAGCTCTTCGAGAGCGAGCCGTATGCATTCAAGCCCCTCGGCAGGTGGTGCTACCTGAAGATCGCCCGAATGAGGCGCAGCGGGTAGCCCATGTACTCGGCCTCGCGCAACACCTGCCTCACGATGAGGTTGTCGAACACCTTCCAGGCGTCCAGGAGCACGGTGATGCTGTCGCCTCCGTTGAGGGTCGGGATCTCCCCCGTGAAGTTGTGGTGGAAGGCCGCCGCCGACGCCGTCCTGCCAACTCCGCCCGTGCCCGAAAGGTTGGGCACGTCTGCGTTGGCCAACCACGCCCTCGAAATCGTTGATCTCGCCGTGGCCCAGAGCCGAAGAAAAGAGTTGACAAGGGCAATCAACCTGCAACCTCCACTCGCTTTGGGCAGCCGAGACAATACCGTGTACAGCCTGTTCGTCGGCCTTTCCCCGAGCCTGTCACACCGACTGAAGAGCGCGGGCAGCACGAACAAACCGATGTCAATGAGCTGCCACAGGGCCCTCGGGGCGATGCCTGTCTGGCCGACGGCAGTCCTCTCCCTGAAGAGGTGCTCCACCCCCATCCTCGGCAGCTCGTCCCACTCGGAAATTCTCGGGCGGCTTCACCGAGGCTAGCTCCTCGTGGCAGGGTCCAGACGCCAGTCCACTCCTGGAGCTCGTGGTCCGCCGAGGAGGAGGAAGAGGAGAAGGAGGAGGACCTCCTCATCCTACATATTGTAGTGGTGGTGGGAAATTGGCCCATCAGTTATGTTTGTGCAATTGTTTCTTGTCGACCCAAAGAGAGCGGTGATAACGAAACCCAAGCGCCCTCGCGTCGTGAACAAACTCGCGACGGGAGGCTTTGGGCTATGCTCGGTATCTGGGGGCCCTCGCCGGGACCCAGGGCCGCTTGGGACAAAGAGTCGGTCCTGGGGAGAGGGATGAGGCATCCGAGGGCCAACGCTGTAAAACAATGACGACGTCGGGGGTCTGGGAATGTTGTGAGCCAGTCCCAGGAACCCCGACGTCATGACGTTTCCATGGCGTCGACCCCCAGAGGTCTCGGCCCATTCCCCGGGACCGGTTTTTCATCCTGGGCCGCCTCTTGACGGTCCCGAGGCCCGGCGAGGGCCTCCAGAGGCCGAAGATAACAAGAAAAACGTGCAATCGTAGGGGAACAAAAAGTGGCATAAGGGGAACAAAAGTGACATAAACATAAAAACTCTGAGGTCCGCGCGGATTTCTCGGATCGGCGCTGCGGCGCCTCCGGCGCCACCCCTGGCGCGCTCCGCGCGCCAGGGAGGGGGGTCCAGCGCCGATCCGAGGGATCCGCGCGGACCTCCGAGTTTTTATGTTTATGCAACTTTTTAGGGGGCAAACAGACATACCTCGCTTTTGACCACCCTCGCTTCCAAGAGGTACCAAGCGATGCCAAACTACGGCCTGCACTCGTTAGGCCGCTTGACGAGGAGGCGCGCGGTATGACTTGGCTTTGCGTGGAAGCGGAAGCGGGGTAGGCAACTCACGCTCTGATTTTTGTTCCCCCAAATCGCGATTCTTTCATGCTTCGAGGGGGTCTTCAGACGAGGCTCAACGTGATTCCAAGGAGCCGAGGCGACCCCTGACGCCCTGCGAGCGATAGTTCGAAATGCCAT